AGAAGAAGGGAGAAGAGAGAGAAGAAGAGAGAGAAGAAGGGAGAAGAGAGAGAAGGAGAAGGGTAAACAGAAACAGAGGGTGTTATTGAGGAAAACACCGGCTTCGTTCACGTCTCTCACTCTGACGTTTACGTCCACAACTCATCACACTTTCTGCTCTAAACAGATAACAATCTGCCGACATGGCTAATAAAATCATGTTCTTACGTTAACTGAAGGAAGGAAGGAAAGGAGACCAGAACTCAGGATGACATGTTTGTTCTTGGAAACGTCTCTGCTGGCTGAGACAAAGCAGAGGACAGAGGAATGAGGACAGAGGACAGGAGGAGGGGAGGGGTGCATCTTCACCACTAGATGTCACTGAAGCTCACACACTTTGATTCGTCAGCTTGACTCTGATCATTTATAATTAATAATTCATGTTTTTTTTCATGTTTCATGAGAACAGATGAGAGTCAATCCTCCTAAAATAAGTAAATAATCTCTTTTCCTTCTTACTTCCAGTGAATCTTCTCTGAGACGATGTCGTTTGTGTCCTGATGGTTTTGTCTCTCCGTCCCCCTTTCAGGTCCGAGGGTCTCCCTCCGGACTCCATCCCGTCTTCTCCGAGTCGGCCTCGGCTCCATCCACCTTCCTCCGCAGCGCCGCCTCCTACAGGAACCACCGGCACCGCCACCACCACCGGTCCACGTCCCAGGACCAGTGGGACCAGCAGGACCAGTGGGCCACCTGGAGGCCCCAGTGGAGGGGTCAAAGGTCGGGCTCCACCTGCTCCTCCCCTGGCCCCTCCTCCCATCACAGAGGCCACTCCCTCCACCGGAGCTCCTCCCTCGTCCCGCCCTTCCGTCTCAACCTGGATGCTCTGGTCGGGGCGGAGGAGACGGACGTGGACACGGGGGACCAAGTGAGTCCCGTTAGCGGCACTGACCTCAGCGTGGTGTCCGCCTACATCAGACCCAGCCTGCCTCAGACTTCCTCTCGGCCGCTATCGGCGCCGCCCGGAGACATCGGCCCGTCTCTGTCTCCGCTGGGCCGCGTCCCAATCGGCTCTGTCGGCACCTTGTTCGCCGCTCCGTCTCTGAGCGACGGCTCTGTGAACCAATCGGACAGCTGCAGCATCGTCAGCGCTCCGGTGGACGAGGAGGAAGAGGAGGAAGAAGAAGAAGAGTTCTACATTTGACGTGTTGGTCTGCTTCCTCACTTCCTCTGCTGCGTGTCGGTTAAATGTAAGCGACCAATCACACGAGAGACACTGGTCAGTACCTGGTCACGCTCACACCTTGATGTCATTTTAAAGTGTTGATTATTATGATAATATGAGAATATAATAAACTTTATTGATATAAAGAACACAGATTCAATGAGAAGCAGGTTAAAGGTGCTTTGTTTAATGTTTATCCACTAAAATACAATCTGAACTAGTTTAACTTTCACTTTTCTTTCTGATCATTTCGATTGAATCCAAAATGGCCGAAACAAGAGGAAGACTTTAGTTTGGTCACCAGGAGACGACTTCAAGGTTTAAAGGTCTTTATGTTCGGTGGATAGTGAAGAGTTAATTCATTTATTATCTTTTTAAAAACACAAACAATCGAACAAACTAATAATAATATTTACATTTCAATGAATTATTACTGGCAAATGAAACCAGAATATGATGGAACATGTTGATGATATTAAAATAAAGATGAGTTGTGACCTCAGAGTCAAAGGAGGAACAAAATTTAACGTTTTTATTTTATTGTTTATTGAGAACATAAGTACAACAATCAAGGCCTCTCTAAATGTTTTAAGATTAAAGATATACTTTGGCCTTAAGTTGAGTATGAACCTGATTTAACATAATAATGTTTTATTCAGACTGAAGTCTTTGAACGCAGCACGGTGCTGCCCTCTGCTGGTCCACTTTGATCTGAACATTAAAATAAAACTTCTGAATAAAGAGTTAAACTCTGCAGAGAGATGACATCACCAGCTGAGGTCTGAGGAGGAACGTCTCCTCCTGCAGAGGTGATGATGTCATCATCGACCAATCAACGCAGAGTTACTCACGTGAGGAGGTCTGGAGAACCAATCAGATGAAGATCCAGAGACACAACACGAAAAACATTCATTTACTCTTCTTCTGCAGAAATAAACGTGTTTATACAGAACAAAAGAAACATAGAACCAAAGAACCAGAGAACCATAGAACAAAAGAACCATAGAACCAGAGAGACAACACGAAAAACATTCATTTACTCTTCTGCAGAAATAAACGTGTTTATACAGAACAAAAGAACCAGAGAACAAAATAACCAGAGAACCAAAGAACTAAAGAACCAAAGAACCAGAGAACCAAGGAACCAGAGAACTAAAGAACCATAGAACCAGAGAATCATAGAACCAGAGAACCAAGGAACCAGAGAACTAAAGAACCATAGAACCAGAGAATCGTAGAACCAAAGAACTAAAGAACCACATAACTAGAGAATCATAGAACCAAAGAACCACATAACCAGAGAATCATAGAACCAAAGAACCAGAGAACCAAGGAACCAGAGAACTAAAGAACCA